TGGCTGCAAAGGACTCACATAAAGGGGTTCCCTAGTTAATCTAGAAATAGGCTAAAATCAGCCTTTTGCACTGGATGTTCAAGAATGTTCTTAAGATGTTTGATAGCCAATTATTCCTTTGCTGTTTTTTCCCCCACTCCTAGACCCTCTCATGGCCCTGTCTTTATCTCCCGGAACCCCAGTTATTTGTAGTAGAGGATCAACAGTGGCTGAGCTTCCAACGCAGGTAGGAGGATTTTCCCCTCCCCTCATGTGCCAATCTCCCAATAACAGAATAACACAATCGGAAGGGATCTTGGAGATCTTCTAGTCCATCCCCCTGTTTCAAGCAGGAGACCCTATAGCCTTTCAGACAAGTGGGTGTCCAGTCTCTCCTTAGAAACCTCCAGCCCATAACTTCTGAAAGCAAACTGTTCCATTAGCTAGGAAATTTCTCCTTAATTCCAGGTTGCCTTTCTCCACAATTAGTTAACATCCATTGTTTCTCCTGCCTTCTGGTGCTTTTGAAAATAAGTTGAGCCCCTCTTGTTTGTGGAAACCCCTCAAATATTGAAACACTGCTATTGTGTCTCCCCTGGTCCTTCTTTTACCTAGACTAGCCATATCCAGTTCCTGCAACTGTTTTTCGTGTCATTTAGTCTCATAGCCTTTAATCCTTGGTTGGTCTTTGCACTTTTCCCAAAGTCTCCACATTTCTTTTTGTAATGTGGTGACCAAAACTGAACTCTGTATTCCAGGTGTGGTCTTTACTCTGGTTGTTGTTTTTTTTGTGAAAGTTTTATTTGGATTTTCACAAAACATAATACAAATAAAATATCTTTTTTGAGAGCAGCATGATTCCAGGTTATCACATCTCCATACAGACATAATCTCAGTTACATATTAATCTTTATATTCTATTTCATATCTTGACACTATTTTATCATTTTCTCAATAATTTTTCCCTTCCCTTACTTTCCTCAACCTTATTTCTGATTATTTCATTGCTTTCTAATTCAATTACATAGCTTTTTCTAAATTTCTATATCTTTCTAATCATTATATTTGTACTTGTCAGCCTTCAAGATTTTCTCCCTTTGCTTTGCATCTTTCGGCTGTCATAAGTAACAGGGGGAGGAGGGGGGAAAATTATGGGAAGTGAGCTGGAGGTGTTACAAACAGAATTGTATAAATTGTGGGGGGGAATACATTCTTGCTTAGGTTTCTATTCCTTGCTCTCTCTTCTATGCTATGCGCAGCTGCAAACCTTTATCAAAGTATGCCAAGGTCAATGGACAGAAGCCTCACCACCATCTGGAGATGTCCACATGATGATATTCACTACTTTTAATTGGAAGAACCATTTGAACTATTGGGGGTGGGAACATTGCCATTACTTTGTATATGTGATTTACGCACCCATTTTCTCAGATTCAGAATTTTTTTGTTGCTACCACTTGATTTCCAGTAAAAGATATCTTTTCTCTAATTAAAAGAGTCTAAGTATTTCTTTCTTGGATTTTGAATGGAGCACTGGCTGACAGTACTTTTTTCTGTCCTGCTTACAACTTCATACATTCTTTTTCCAGGGGAAAAAAACCAAAAACAATTCCCTCCCCTTCCAGGCATTAAAAAGCAAGGTTTCCCCTGTGATTACCAAATAGAGTTTATCACCTTTATATCTTATAGTTGTTATCCATTCAAATCTCATTTAACGTTTAATTTATACATTATGCAATTATAATTATATACTCTGCATTTTTTTAAAGTGGTGAACATGAAAGCCCAAAGTAAAAAGTAAAGTCCAAGCTTGGCTTTTGTAGAGAGCACAGCTGCTGCCCAGATGAAGTTGGAGACACTGACATAGACTTGGAGAGTTTTATATAAACATATATTTAACATGGAAATTTACAGCAGTCTTTGTCACCATCCACAAAAGGAAGAACGTAAGATAGTCAGGAAAACAGAAAAAACATCCTGAGGTAAATCTAAAGCATCATGCAGAACAAAGAGAGGGGAAAAAGGCGGGGGAAAAGAGAAACGCCCCCTTTCAGCAGCCAATCGTAGCATAGATTGCATCCTGCATGAGTCAGCACCCTCTAACTAATCAGTTACGATTGTGTTCCGGCCTATTGTAGACTTTACTGTTCCAGTTACTAAATTGTCCTACATGGTCTTTGCCCTACTTGGAAGCTGTGGAGGTTTTTCATTAAGAAGAAGACTCGCATGTAATTCATTGAAGTGTTCATTGTTAAGAATATTCATGGAATATGTTGTCCTTTCCCCCCCTGTCTCTGTGTCAGGATTTGGTATCATTTGAGGATGTAGCTGTGTTTTTCTCCGTGGAGGAGTGGGCTCTGCTGGATTCTGAGCAAAAAGCCCTGTACCAAGAGGTCATGCTGGAAAACAAGAGGAACGTGGCCTCATTAGGTAAGGGATTTAAATTTAGTAGCCAAAGGTCAAATGTTCAATCATCTTAATAGCAAGCATAGCATCATGTTTAGAACAAATGGGAGTTTAGAAGAAGTTTGATACCCTTCAAATAGAGCAATTGTGCTTGATTGCTTTCGCACTAAAGGTTGTGCTAACTTTTCTTTTTTTATTGTTGCAACCAGGTGACAGATGGGAGATGGAGGTTTCTGGCCAAGAGGCAGCAGCACCTTTGCCAAAAGACAAAAAGGAAGTTGCAGAAAAGATGTATGGAAAGCAAAGTTTGAAGCAAAACCAGCTAACAGGGGAGTTGGAGAATTGCTCTGGTTTACCTTGTCCAGATACCAATGTCTTATTGGACACCGATGATTGCCATGAAAAACAAGTGTGTTCAAGGTGTGGAAAAAGACTCTGTGATGAATCTGGATTATGTGACTGTGGTGAAAGCCCTGCTGGAGAGAAACAAGATGAAAGCAGGCAACACCCCAGAAGGAGCCTTCCTCCTCCTTTACATGAAAGAATAGAAGGAGGGAAACCATACAAATGTACAGAGTGTGCAGAAAGCTTCAGTACAAGCCGCTCTCTTGCTTCACATAAAAAGATTCACAAAGCAGGGGAGCCACACAAATGTCTAGATTGTGGAAGGACCTTCAGACAGAAAAAGCACCTTAATTCACACAGGAGGGTCCACAAAGAGAAGCAGCAGCATCAATGCATCCCCTGTGGAAAGTCCTTTGGAAGCAGCACCTCCCTTACTTCCCACCAAAGCGTCCACAGAGAGGAGAAGTTGCATCAATGCAGGGAGGGTAGAATGAGGTTTACTCAGAGCAAGGAACTGAATTCCCGGAAAAAAAGCCCCACTGGGAAGAAATCATATAAATGCCTAGAATGTGGGAAGAGCTTCCGCTCTGCAAGTGACCTCACTTGCCATAATAGGATCCATACAGGGGAAAAGCCGTATCATTGCATGGTGTGTGGAAAGAGCTTCGCACAAAAAAGCAATTTCAATTTACATAAGAGGATCCACACTGGAGAGAAGCCGTATAAATGCACAGTGTGTGGAAAATGCTTCAGTGCCCGATGTAATCTTACTTCCCATAAGAGGATCCACACAGGGCAGAAACCCTATGAATGCCTGGAATGTGGAAAAAGCTTTAGCGGAAGCGGTGCTCTAACCTTACATAATAGGATGCATAAAGGGGAGAAACCTTATCAATGCCTGAACTGTGGAAAAAGGTTCAGTCAAAAAGTTAATCTTAAGTCACACGAGATGATCCACACGGGAGAAAAACCGTATCAATGCACCAATTGTGGGAAGAGCTTCAGTAATCCATATACTCTTACTGTCCATAAAAGGTCCCACACAGGTGAAAAGCCTTATAAGTGCCCTGAATGTGACAAATGCTTCACTGATTCGGGGAATCTCTCTCGTCACAAAAGGCTCCACACTGGAGAGAAACCATA